TTACGATCACAACGTGATCGCAAATCGTTTTGAAGTTAGTTAAACATCCGAGTTATATCACTCCTTTTCTACAATTACCTCCTACAGCTACCTGTCTCTTATCTGTTCAGCAATCATCTTTCTATTTCGTGCCTAAAATCGTCGATTTCCGGAAAACCTCCCTCTGTACAGCTTATTTACACTGTGTAACAAAAAACAAAAATGGTCTGGTCATTTTTATCTTTTTGTATTCATCCAGTATTGAACAATGCCATAACAGTTTTTGTTTCTTTCTACCTTTGGACTTTGAAAAAAGGTTGTGATTTCGCTGTATTCTTTCTGTAGGTTGGTACTTTTGTCAATGAATTATTTCTTATCTGTCAATTCCTTCAGTATTTTGTTTTCTCTTATTTACACTTTGATGGTGACCAAAATAAAGTATTTGAATGAACAGATTCTTTCAGTACTATTCGTCTGATTCAAATTTTCCTGTGGGAAATTCACCACTATGTGGGTAAAGAGGAGGGAGGATATCATATTTTATGATTCCATTTCCGATTATATAGTATTGTTCTAATTACTGTTTCGTTGCGTAACATTTGTCCCCCCCCAATGACGATGTTCGTTTGCATGGTATTGAATTATGTACAGTATAACGTATACATGTCCTGGGAACCTTTTGTACACATGATTCTATCCTGGGTGTGAAATAGATTATATTACAAAATGTTTTCAACAAATGATTCTACGGTTTGCACACTGGTAAAGTACTTTTATGTCGCTCGCGTCAACGGTGGTGATCTATCTTCCGATCCTAATCTTCGACTAGTCAAAGTCTGACCCGCAAGGCAGCTGAAAGGCGTTTAGAAACGGCAATCCACTGAGGCTATCTGTTACTCTGTCAGACCATTATCTTTTTGGTTTTTTTTCACCAATCAAAATTGTATTGTATTATAGTTGACTTTTGCAGGTAAAAGTGCCTACATTTCAGTGAAAAATGAATTCACCGTTACAATGGGATAAAAAATGAAATGAAAATTCGTATACAACAATGATAAAACTAAATAGGTGTTCATCTTTGTAGATTTAAGATTAGTTCGTTACGGATCCTCGCCGTGTCAGTGAGAATACGAACCGGATAAGGAACCGTTGAGTTGCGATGAATTTTTATGCGGGAGGGTAAGCAGTGAAAGTTGACCCGGCTTGTAGCGTCGGAACGGCAAGCAGATAAATCGGGATTGAGCGAATGACTGGGGACATTGAGTATCTTATGAGCGAAATTCTCTCATGAAATGATACGCAAATTACACAATTTTGTGATAAGAGTTTCGAACCAGTGACCATCGCAAGCAAGACTTTTCGGAGCCAGTTCGCACTTTTCTTCTTGGAAGGCTCGGTATCAAGGTTTTTCAAATCAGCTAGCCTCCCGTAATCATTGACCCAGCTGTAGACCAGAGTAATGGTTTTACCCTCTTTATTTAGTAAAGAAAAGCATATCCACTCGAAGGCAATGAGAAGGACTTTTCGAAAAGAGAATTTGAGGGTCATCCTGTGAAAGTATTTCGTGGGGTGAGGATGAGTCAGTATCAGAGATACTGGGACCCCTTAAGGGCACATAGCAAATGTGCGATAACTGTTTGCTTAAAATTCCCTGATTTATTAACATTATGTTCTCTCTTTAACATAGACGCACATGGACGTGATCACAATTTATCTGCTTTCCACCTTGCCGACCCAGTTGAGCCTGGAATACTAAAGAAACCAGAGACTCAGCCTTAAATGTTGCACTAATTTACATTGATTGATAACTCGGGGTTATTGTCACCGATTCTTAAAGGTGCTAGGCATTATGACTAAATTTTGTAAACAGTAGCCCTCATGCATCTACTCACTATCCTTGCAAAGGGTATTCCTCCCTAATTGACCGTTTTTGCATTGATACTACTTCCAACGTTCCAACCGTTCCTCTAACCTTGCATCCCAAAGTGCACGGGTAATGTTTGTATAAACTGAAACTGTAATAGTAGGATTAAGTACACTGCACCCTCGCATTATAGCTAATAACGGAGGGTCTACGGAGGGAAAGCCAAACCTGATTTTTCACCCGAGTCAGTAATTGAATACCACTCACTAGCAGACCGCTCTGTTTGTTTTTACCGATTAACAACCCAAATTTCACAACAGCTGCTATTTGTGTCTACTTTTATCTTGGTCTGCAAACATCAGAGTTTGAGCTTTGTTCTTTATTCGTGCGATTTTGGCTCTAACCGATCGTGCATATATGTGTACGCGAGGATTCTAGTGGTTTTAAGATGACACCAAATTTAGGAGGTGCCATTTTTTGTGTAGCTATTAACATTATTAAACAATAAGTCACTCAATATTTTCAGATCTATACACCAGGTCACAGTCTGACTAATCACTGCCTGCCTCGAGAACCACTGCGAACATTCACAGCATAAAAGATTTGCTCATCTCTGCGCAGAGTTGAAACAAGCTTTTGCAGATCTTTCGGCTATCACATTATACATTTTATAGAAATATGATGCGCATTTTCTTAATCATCCATGGTCATTTATTTGCTTTTGACAAAGTTCCACTTATCTTCATGCGACACGAATGTACTGGTGTGCGTTTGTTGATCAGCCACTGTTGCGTTTATGAACTACAAAATAAGAGGAGGCCGTCTTTACTTAATTAAATTATGTTGATAACACTTTTCCGATAGAACCTATAAACTTAAACCCCTTCAGTTCGTGAATTTACCTCAATAGTCTGAAACTCTCATTTATATGCAGAAAACCACAAACGTCCTACTGTTAGAACACTTCGGTGTGTGATAAATAGTTTTTCTTCTCCCTCAGCACGGTTCTTAAATCTCTATCTCATAAGTTAAGACCTCCATGAAATATGCTGATTGCATCACAAACATCGTGTCAAAAATTCAAGGCCTCATCATTCATGTAACGAACGGGCAACTGTCTCCCGCTGAACGGAATTTATGTATTTTGGGCTGACGGACAGGGTTGCAAGAACGCCCGCTGTCCTGGACCTAAGTTGCGCGTATTTCAATTTACTCCACACCCATGTGTTAGTCTGTGGGCCTCTTCAGCTCAGCGGGTGTGCTCTTTCCCATGCCCAATGAGCCCAGTGATTGTTTTGTGTGAAACTCAATTTAAGTCGATCACACTTCGAGAGGATGATGGAAACGGGTAGCGGAGGCTGACGGTTAAGGGATTTGGTGAAGATGCTGACGTAGGTGGGGGATGTAACTTTGTTTCAATCTCATTTGCGTGTTTTCGGGTCTGACCTAGTGTTAATTGGATTCACCTAGGTTCATGTGTTTCATGTGGCTTGATTGACACAAAATATCGTGCAGAGGTGGACGATCTGTTTGCCTACGCTTGTGGGCGTGTTACTTCGGACCAAATGTAGCAAATGAAGCGGCACGTTAGCCGGTGTCTGGGGGACGGTCCTAGGCCATACGGGCGCGAAACCGGGGAGGTCTGTTTTGCCATCATATTCTACTAGGTCAGCCGGTGTTGAATAATATAGCAGGATGCTTACACCGTAGGTAAGTTTTCTCTCCACCACCACTCTACTCTACGCTACACCTGACGGGGGAATGGATGGATGGCGACTGAAGAAACATCTGGGACAAGTGCTCCACGGTCCGTGCACAGGTGTGATCCATCCGATGATGCTTATAATTCATTCCCGTACCTCACCACCGAAAGGAATCTTTAGCCATTCAGTATTGTATAGATTACACCCAAGGTAACATAAAAGTGAATAAAGACATTGTTTAAAAGACCAAAGATGGAATGTTTCCCTGAGGTTGACGTAGAAACTGACGAAGTACAGAATATAGGGTAATATTTTGCGCTTGGTGTTTCATATTCGGTGGACTCACATGCAGGCTATTTTTGTGACGACATCGCTTTGAAGAAAACAATAGGGAACAAGGTATTGCATGCAAAATAGACAAAAAATCAGTAAAAGCTCAATCCCTTGAAAAAAGAGAACATAAATTCATTTTGTCGGATCACTTTTAGTAACTTTTCCGAAACCTTTCAACCTGGTTGATATAACAAAGGCAAACTGTCAGTTTTCACGAACAGTTAGGTTAGCAATAAATTTTTGAGGGTTAAACGGTTAACGACCCATTGTCACAGTCCTATTGACAAGACCGAATGTAGCTGCTTATGTCATGTGATACATTTCCATATTTTGACATGTAATACAACCTGCCAATTTCGTTGATCCTTTTGCACAAATTCTTATGCTCGATGACTTGAACATATGCCTATCTGCCACTCACTGTTTACTACTTCTGAATTGACTTCGTGGTGTCCAATCCATAACTTGGTATAGCGGCATGCAGAAGTTTTCAGTGGTTTTTATCGTTCGTTATTTTTCCTTCACTTACTCAGTTGAGGTCTCATTGTCATTCGTTGGAAACTTTAAAGGATAAAACCCAGAACAGTAACCAGGGATGTGGAGCTCTCTACAGTTTAATGTGAGTAACTTCTGGCTAGACGAAACTAGATTAAATGAAATCGAAAGGTTATCACGCTGTATATCAATTACAACAACTCACAATTTTACTACCCTGTATTCGGTTAGTAACTATCGTTTCCTCCGTTAAAGAATGTCCTTCCTGATCGTTTCAGGCAGATAAAGTCACAAATTGACATCAATATATATTGATGAACCGCTTCCGCATAAATTCCCCTCTGTCATATTCTGACCTATAGGGCGTATAAATGCCACTGGTCAGCGTAGTGATCATAGAAACGATGCACAGCAGCGGAAAACGGGATGCTTGTATACTCTCGTATATATTATCCGAACAACTGACAATGATTAAGATAAACAATCGGTTTGACTTTTGTAGACCTAAATCGCTAGGGTACGTAGTTAATTTATATGACTATGGCGAAGGACTTTTTATGCTTTCTTAGCGTTTAGTTCCCAACTAATAATGTTCATTGCAGTAACCAATTACTTGAGCAACACAAAGTCTTAGATATCTCCATTTGTTTGCCAATCATTGAAAATAAATTTTCATGTCCTCATAAAATTATTTTACTTCGTCTGAAAGATTACCTTAATGATATACGAAGGAATAGCGGGCATACCTAGTCTCATCCTCTGATTAAACCAGTTGTTCAAAATTGCAAAAAATTAACTGTTTCGAAATGTGTATAAACTGATTATTGAATGGTAGTGTATGATTTTGGGAAAAAGTAACTTGTGAGTGAGTTACAGCAATGATGGTAGTCAAGCGGTTAAGGTCACAAACTAATCATCCCGAAGAATCTGTGCTCGGATTACACACCGTCACTCAGCTTTGATTGGCTGCTTCTGCCTTCCTGAACATGCTGTGTATCATTATATATTATTTTATTATATTATTATTATAGATAGACTACCATATTATTTTACATCGTATCGTGTAAACAAAGAAAAAGAACTCTTAGGATGTTCAGCACCAATTCAAGTGCATTTTTTCACAGAAGAACAAGGATAGCATTCATGCTGTACTTAAGCTTCGAAAGGCTCCTAGATGCGGCTTATTATAGTACAATTTTAATGGTAAATATTAGTATAAATATTTTTTTAAAGTATAATTGTATGTGATACTATAAATAACTGTTATTTAATTTTCTGAACAGTTTCAGTCATGTGTTCAATCGGAGTGTGCTTCATTTTTTGGATCCGCTCCATCTTGATAGTATCTGCCACCTTACTGATGGGTTCAACCTTGTGGAAGCAAATTGACCCAGAGATTGTTCTGGGGAAAATGTCTGATGTGGAATGCGTAGGCGGTGCCATTCTTCAGTGATGACCCCTTTAAATTGTAAACCTTGCTCGATAGACCGAACCAGAACTTTTCTTTGCATTTCGTATATTTATACTGTAATTCATTACTCTAGAGTCGATCCACTCCCCGATATCAATCTAATGTGGAAAGTAATGGACCCAGCTGCAAAGATTTGTCCTTAGCAAGTTAATTTTGCTTGGAAGGTGGATTTCGTAGAAGAAAGTTCGTTTGAAGTTCACCATTCTTTATCTATGGCGTCGATTTGAGGTCCACGAATCTGTAAATGGTGGAATCCGTTCTACAAACGCTTTGCTCAGTTTTACTCCTTAACCTACCGATCTGACCTTGAAACAACCGTCTTTCTCTAACTCTCCCTTAGTGGGATTTACAAATGAGGATGTGAATTTACTGGATGTTCAAATTATGTTTCCTTTGCGGTGTTCTTACGAAACGATGATGGAATGGAACACTGGTGACTGGGTACTGGTGCTCGGGTACTGAACCAAGTGCACCTCCAGCAGGGACACGTGTTGTCCATTTTCTCCCTATATGTTTATTCGCAGGGTTTATCAAGATTGATGGCGACTCCATACTTGGCCATTCGATGTCTTAATAGAAAATAAAACTTTAGTTTGCATCAGACTGCTAAAACGAGATTCTCAGGTGGAGGCCTAAGAGAACCATACAATATCGGAATAGCGCCACCAAATCGTGTAGCCGTATTGTGAGTGGTGCTTAAATTGCACCTGGTCTTCTTTATTAACTATCGCTGTTCGTCGCGTTTTTTGTCCACCGAATACTGTGGACGAGCGAACCGAAATCACAGATATTTAAGGGAGAAGTTATTGATCTGTAAAACAGAAAAATATTTAAGTAAACATTCACCTATGACATCCGTTCATTATTATTCAAGTTCCCAACTTTGACGT